TTTGCATTTGTAGAAACCGGCTAGTAAAAAGAGACTTGACTAAGAAATAAATCGTTTTTAGATTGTTGCTGCTGGTGATTTCTGCAACTGTAAATAGAAAAATACTTCGTCTGCCATAAAAATATTTGCAAACCTCTTTGTGGAGCTTTTTAAGCTTTGATATGCATTTCATTATTTGGAAATTTGGCAAACAGATGTACAAGACTGAATGCATCATGGAGCATCGATGCAAATCTATTGAAAAAAGGAATTGATTGTTTGCCAGTTTAACAAAAGAACAGAACAGGATCCCAAAGATTCTCGATGTTTTGATGACATAAAAGAGAGAAAAGTGCGCAAAAGTTATAAAATTAATGCAAAGAAGGAAAGAAATGAAACATATTTGATATGTGTTCTGACGATTTTTACTCTGAAGAGTGATAAACGAAAAGCTTTAGTATGTTTCAGAATGTTTCATAATTTACCAATAACGATACTTTACACGAACAACTCCGTTTGAAGTTCGTAAACCTCAAGCTCACATACTTGAAGATATTCTTGCCTGTTCAAGAACACAGTCACATACCGACCAAGCAACAGCCTTGGACAATTGAATATTTTTAATTCACCAATTGCCAACCTTCCATCTTTTACGCAAAGCGCATTGTTTCGTCCGCCACTTGATCGATCATCCCCGACACTGATATCGAATGGATTGATTTTTTCTTGACCCCAAGTTGCGCCACTTCTTATTTGGACACTTGTGATAGCAGCTTGCCTTGTAACGTCCACTTGCCACCAGGGTACTATATCAGCTTTTGTGATACTGCATCGCTGCCAGGCCCCAGTTTTGTCACCGTCATTTCCAAAGCTGGCAATAAATTTAATTCCACCATATTCATGAGCAGATGAATGCGAGGTGGGTTTCTTATAAGCGATATTTCCTTGAACGCCTGGAATTAAAGTCAAATCCAAGTATTTTATCAGTAAAAACATCTTACATAATACTCCATCTTCTTCTTTACTGTCAAATTGCAACATAAAAATGAAAGGATCATACAAGAAGGAGCAAAAGTCAATGACTACCCTATGGCCATTACATGGAAACACTCACTGCTAACCCATGCATAAATAAGATTGATTAAGGTAAAACAGAAAGAAGTTATGCAAAATAAAATAATTCGGAATGTGATGTGGAGAGGAGAAATGTTCACAACCCCAATCGTAGCTTAACAGAAAGTTTAAGGAAAAGTCCGTTCAGTTAATGAAACCATTTTGTAATTTAGAGAAATTCAAGAAATAAACTCAGAAAAAATTCAGAAAAAAATCAAGCACTCCTTAGGTAAAATTGTGCCTTATTTTGATCTTCACTAATTTTTTTTGGAAGAAGCATCAATTACAATTCATAATGGGTAGAGATCTTTTCTACACGCATAAAAGGATTTACTATCCTGTTATTGATTACTAACTACAGCTGTTGATTACATGGGTTTGGAAGTAACCACTCATACCTCTTCTTGCTTGTTTCTTAGACCATATAACGAAGTTCGATCTCTCGATTGGGATATCTTGCTCATCTCTAAATTGATGAAAAATGTGGTTCTTGATATCCTTAACAACGTAACGACAGGTGTTATCAAGGCTGCATTGATGGAAGGTCTTATGCAACGTGCTTGTCGTTATCTGAGTTGGGTTGTGCACTTCTTCGAAAGCAGATTTGCTTGTACTTTGACTCTCATCTGACTTTATTGAAGCATAGCAGAAAATATTGAGAAGCAACGTCGCGAGCATGAAAAGTCCCATTTGGACAATAGACTGATTGAAATCTTTCCTAGAAAACAAATTAAATTGATATTAACTTCAATTGTGAAAAAATATAATCAACATCATTTTAAATCATATAAAAATGCTGTGAAAATGTAGCATTATTCAAAGATCTTACATATTTTTATCAATAACTTTTTATTTCAAATAAAACCTTTGGAAAACTAAATGCAGCATTGTAGATTTCCAAATTCAATTTTTAAAGGATTTAAAGGATCTCCAACGTTTTAAAGGTTGATCGAAAGGGGAGATCTGTGTTGATACTTAGCGCAAAGGCATTCAGGGGAAAATTTTGTAGGTCGTGACTTTCTTATCTAAGCAGATGAGACTTGAGCGTTTACCATTTTTTGATACCTTGTTTCTAAGCTAGGAACTAAGCCCAAACTTGTAGGTTTTTGGAGAGCAGTTGGCATTGTTTTGCATTTTTGTTGACCCTTGAGGATATCAAATTATCAAAAAATCTGTAATAAGACCTCAAATCCCCCCTGGTCCTGTCCTGTCAGCAAAGTTTTTTGCTAATACCCATGCGACATTTTGTTGCAGAGCTCGAAATGATCTAAGCTGAAAATTTCTTGCTCGTAAAATGTAAACCTAATAAGCCCATTTGAAGTAACTCTGCGAAAATAAATGAAATGATTTTAAGTCAAAGGAAAGGGATGGGGAAGCACAGACAAAAGGATAAGATTTTGATTACCGATTAACCGGAAAAGGGATGTTTGTATTGCTCAAATTCGGAATAGTCGGAATGGGGAACATTAGACTAAAAAATAAACAAAAATTTACTTTCAAATTGTTGGATTTTTGTACAACTGTTTTTGTTTCTGTCCAACTCAGCAATACTTTTGTCCTCTCAAAGTTGAATTATTTGCGCGAGGAAAAGATGTGAATCTAAAAATAAAGAGCCATTTAGGCTTTAAATCATTTGTTGAGGGATTTTGTGGTTTGTTAAGCTAGACAATTGAATTATTCCTCCTGCATAATTAATGCAACTCCTTCGTATTCTTTAATTGGTCCATTGCTAATGAATGCAATCCCATATTACCTAAAAAACTGCGAGATATATCTAGCAAAGAATTTCTTTTAAACTCAATTTCTCAGCGATAGACACGGGACAACTTTCTGGAAAAGTTTCAAAGCTGGCAGGGGTTGCTTAATTCTAACTAACTGTATACAATACGGCCAAATGATATGCGAAGAGACCTTTTGAAAGAGTGCAGTGCGGAAAAAAGGGAAATGGAAACATGGAGAAGGATACTTGCCCCTATCAACATCCCTCCAGAAAAAATTGTACACATTTTCGATGTTCGCTAATTTGGCTTCCAAATGTGTCTACCCTAAAATTTGTTTTGGAAACATGAGATATAAAGCCAATAAGCTTTTCTAATAAACAGAAAAGGGTGGGCTCATTTTCCCTTTCATGGTCTACTAGTTAAGCTATTTGTTTGCTCACTTGAATAAATTCTTTTAGAGTACATGAAATCCTGAAATTTTTCTGTTGGATTTAATATTTAAAGAATTATAGAGAAGAAACGCGCAAAATTTTGTATGCAAGATGAGAAAAGTTTTGGTTGATATGTAATTTAAAACTCCCAGGGGATATTGGTTTGGTACAAAGAGTAAATTATATTTTTCTCATTGGCTATCCCCTTGAACCTAAATTCTATCACTACAATATCCTTTAAATTAGATCTAAAAATTTGACATCTCTTAAACCTTTTTTATACAATTTAAACAAAAAAAAAATCCGAAGGTTAATAAAGGAATAAAATTTTAATAAATGATTTAATAAAATTTATTCTAAATATCTGATAGTATGATTATTTGACAGGCCGATAAATCCTTAGGTTTTTGAAAAAACTTTAAATATTCTTCTACTTTAATTAGATAAACAATAGAAAATTTAATATTGATCAATGCATTTCAATACAAAAATATTCATCATCAACTGTTGATAAAAGATCATGAAGAAATGGACTTTCTTGAATCCAAAAGCACTTATCTATCTAAACTTCTTTAGAAATTGAAATTTGCGCAATTTAATAAATCAATCGACTTGCAGCAATTGATTCGACGCAATTAGAATCTTAAATAACAACAGATCCTTCGAGTTACTAAAGCAAAACTCTTATTATAATGTATGTTTGTATTATTATTTTCTTATCATTCTAAGCAACAAGAATTTCTGCAGGTTGATTATGTAATTATCTTTCGGCAAAAATATTAAGGAATTGCATCTAAAAAATCTTTAATAACACTAGTGTCTGCGTGATTGTATGAAGATCATAAACAAATGCATGTTTTCAAATTTATTGATAATTTCCGATGTTGGCAAACTTAAAAACAGATTCCAATTACAATTTATGGCAATTTTAGAATCGGTTGATGGTCAGTGCAAAGTGTGTTCAAAGTTGGTAAGAAGTGAGCTGCATTCTTCAAGTATAAAGTAAAAAGACAAAGTTGTCTGGTTTCCCGATCAAAGAAGATGCATTTTCAAATGTATGTCTTGATTTTGAAATGTTAATATTATATATCTTTTTTATTTGTTCATCCACAAAAGTCAACTCATTTTACGTGTTTGTCCTTTTCTTGATTCTCGGCATTGCTCCATTTGCTTGTTTTAGATATTGTATTTCTTTCTTTCCCTTTTATTTACTTACTTGCCAACTTTAATTTTGTTTTTCAACGATGAATTATGACAATGATTACTGTCTCATTCTTTCTGACATTATCTTACATAAAGTTTTAACTTATAGCAAAGGTTTTCTTGAAGTAGATCTACAACTCTTTTAGCCTTTATAGAATATTTTGTCTTGAATGTGTAACAGTTTTATTAAAGTTTTGCTTGTAAAAACAAAAAAACATTTTAGACTAAGGTTCCGAAGAACTTTCCTCCGGGTGATTAAAAGTAGCTCAGCATTCTAATGGAAGAGTTTTCTTGTGACAAAGAATTCTATCTAAGATGATTTTTATAAATAATTGCTGTAAGCTTTCTTTCGATTCGTGAAATTTTATCATCGAGATTTTGTTATACTTATAAATAGCCATTGTTTCTAGGTTTGATGCGCATCTTTATGTTTCTATCTTTAATGGACAAAGAGATTTTTATTTGCTTTTGTAGAAAACGGCTAGTAAAAAGTAAGCCTTGATTCAGTACTAATATTTTTCCAGACTGTTGCTGCTGGTGATTTCTATAAATATAGATGGAGAAATACTTCGTCTGCGATGCAAGATCTTCGCCAATTTTACTGCTGTGCTTCAAGATCACGCACTAAGTTCTACATTTCGTTCTTTGAACAACTTGGATGAGCAGATGTGTAAGGCTGAATGCATCATGGAGCATCAATGCAAGTCGATAAATTTAAACAAAGAGCTGGGTATTTGCCAGTTGAATAACAAATCAGCACAGGATCCCAAAGATTTTATTGAAACACAGGAAAAGGAGGGTTGGACATATTATTCAACCCGTTTTGAAGAGAAAAATGTAAGCTTTCTATTGAAACAGCTACTTGAAATTCAACTTCATTCATAAATTTAAAAACTAATTTGATGACTGAAAATTGCGGAATGTGCGCATATCGAAGTCAGTTGAATCGAGTTGTAAAGTGATGACATAACAAAAATATATTTTTAGAATTTTTTGAATTTGGATCCCATTTTCTTAAGGAGCATTGTGTAATGCCTCTAAATGTGCAAAATCAGACAATTTTGTTACAAATTAGCAGAGACATGGCCACATGTACATTGTTCTTGCCCAATCAAATGCTGTATCTCGGTCTCTGTTCATAACTTTATGAACGAGCGAAGATAACAGTGATTCGTTAGCAAACTTCAAATCTTTCATTGGCCGTATCTCAACCGATTTTAGACATTTTGGCCAATTTTCCATACTTGAAAGTATTTCATGGTGATCTTTTATGTTATCTGGTTAAAATACAAAAATTCTAAAAATTGGTTTACAATCACCTCAAACACAGTTTTCAATCTTTGAATTTTTAGCTCTGCAAAGAACATGGCCTTAAAGAGCAAGAGCCATTACTCTAGTAAATTTCATGACTAATATAGCACTCGTGATATGATGTGATAAGACAATTGATCATTTTACATTGCAGGTTGGTCAGTATTGCCAAGCAAATGATTCTTGCAGCGCCGGACATAAATGCATTGACACTTGCTACTGCCCAGGGTATAAATGCATTGGTAAATACAATAGTAACTACATTGCTTTTCGGGTACAAAGGCCTTGTTTAGCATTTTGTATCAGAAGAGTTTTTATTACAATTTCATTCTGTAAATTATCTTCCAGCCACAGCAAAGAATATCGCCTATAAGAAGCCATCTTCCCATTCATCTACCCATAAATATGGCGGAATAGAACTTGTTGCAAGCTTTGGAAATGATGGTGTCAGAACGGCAGACTGGCAGAGATGTAGTTTCACCAGTTATGAAGAGCAACCCTGGTGGCAAGTGGATCTTAAAAAGGTAGCCGCTGTTACACATGTTCGGATAACGAATTCTGTAGACTGGCCTACACTTGATATAAACCCATTCAATGTTAGTGTTGGGAAAGATAGTTCAAACGGCGGAAGACACAATGCGCTTTGTGTAAACGGTGGAAAATTGGCTGGCGGCGAGATAAAAACTTTTTATTGTCCAAAGCTGATGATGGGTCGCTATGTGAGTGTGTTTTTGAACAGGAAAGAATTTCTTCAAGTATGCGAGTTTGAGGTCTATGAAGGTATGTTTCAAATAATATTTGTGGCTTGTTTGTTTTACATATTTGTTTCAAATATTCTATGTTTATCTTTTGGCTCTTGGTTAAGTATATGGACCAGGCAATATCACTTAATTTGTTGTAAAAATACAAAGCTCCATCTATTTGTCTTCACCTAAATAGTACATACAAAGTCTAAATGAAGAAAGAAATTTTCTCTTTGACAGGTTTTTGTATATGCATAATTCTGATCAGTGAATAAGTTACAGTTGAAGTAAGGGTATGTCCAAACATGAAATTATTATCCAAACTAATTGCCAAAGTGGAAAAAAAAGATTATGCGACGAAAATATCCCATTGATTGATTGGCTTTTCATTAAGGATTTGGCATGCAAGCTCAAAATTATCTTTTACAATTGATGTACATGCAAATTGTCTAAAAAAACCGTCTATTAAAACCAGAACCTTAGGCAAAAAAAGCAAAAAAGTGAGTACTGATCTAAACTTCAAAAGACAGCTTCAATACTATTATTGTGAATATGGCATAAAAGGTATTTATATATAGCTATAATGCAAATCCTCGAAGACACGCTTATAACGAGAAGAAATGTCACGTGTCCCCGAGGACTTGCCTAAACAATGCTAAACATATCTAATTATAACAGGGTCAAAAGTTTAAAATAGTTCTACGTAGACAACAACAAATAAATAAGATTAAAAACAATCTGTTTGCTATAATTACTGATCTAAACCTTAAAAGACAGCTTCAATACTATCATTATGAATATGGCATAAAAGGTATTTATATATAAATTTTTGTTCGTTGATAACAGGATGCAGATCTTCTTGCGACTGGTTAGTTGTTATGCCTTTTGTTGTATCATGCTACGCTTCAACGTCTTTAAAACGTTAGTCTGTAACACTTAGCATAACTTAACAAAATGCTTCTACCAATTACAGCCGTGGGATATGTGTTTTTTTCTTTCAACATGAATCCAATGAATTTCAAAACTAAGATTCAATGTATTTAATTTGACCATAATCTTGATAACAGCAGAGAATTTGGCATATAAAAGGCCGTCCTCACATTCATCAACACTTTCAATACAAGATATCCCGTTAGTTGCCAGCTTTGGAAATGACGGTGACAGAACTGGGGCCTGGCAGCGATGCAGTATCACAAAAAAAGACATAGTACCCTGGTGGCAAGTGGACCTTACAAGGCAAGCTGCAGTCACAAGCCTTAGAATACAGAATTCCGAAACTTGGGATCCTCACAGAATCAATCCATTCGATGTCAGTGTTGGGGACAATAAGTCAAATGGCGGACGAAACAATACACTGTGTGTGAAAGACGGAACATTGCCAAGCGGAGAGTTGAGAAAGTTCGATTGTCCACAGGTTCTGATGGGTCGTTACGTCAGTATCTTTTTGAACAGACAAGAATATCTTCAAGTATGCGAGGTTGAGGTTTATGAAGGTATGTATATTCACATGAAAATTTACTCCTTTAATGTTGGTCACGAAATGTAAATTAACTTGCATCTTGCTCATTGGGCCATTGCTTTGATAAAGCAACTGCTTTTTTGGCTTTAACTACTTTTGGCATTTCATCGACAAAACCAAAAAGATTGGGGTCACAACAATACAAAGCAAACAATTTAAAAAATTTATTAACCTGTAGAGAAATATCTAAAGAGAAAAAATGCATAGGCCAATTTGCACGGAGGTCTTGTAAGACCAAAAGCAATTTCGAAGAGAATTCTTTTTGCAAGTTGGCTTCCGATGTTCCCGAGAAGGTAATCCGTCCATGAAATAGATCCAAAAAATGATTCTAAGAGGCTTTAGTGGATGGAGGAAATAGCAGTTTAGAGCAGATTTCATCACCAAAACCCGTTTTCTTGAAAATGGGTCCTGACACTTTGGTGCTGGAAGTCAAGGATACATAAGCATTGACATTGTTTAGTACAACTTTTGATTGTACAGATATGTACTGTCATAGAGATGTACTTAATGAGTATACTTCAGGTATATTTATGAGTATATTTTCATTTTATTTTGGAGACTAAGATTATTCTTAAATTACTATTTAGCGACCAAAGGTGTAACTGAGTCGCATTATAATGTTAATATGTCTATTTCAAATATATATCGTGAAACTCGCATTTGCTTTGCTTCCCAAAACACAAAAATAAACACTATATCCAATTTTAATTTAAGCTTGAGTCTTTGATTATTTTTACATTATTTTTATATTTCAGCGATTTAAATTCAGCCTCAATTTTCTTATAGACGATATTCTTAAAAACGTGTGTAGCCTGAATTGAATTTTAGGTTGAATACAAATGAATAGAGGCTTGATATTAATTCTGTCACATTGTAATATTAAAAGTATATTCTAACATGAACTTTGCATTTTAGATTTACTCTGAAAGAAGGCTTGAGAAATCTATATTTATTCTCCACTTTCTGGCAAGGACGAATGCATGGGAAGAGAAATTTAATATATCTGCTACAATCAGCTATAGAGGACATTAAAATTGCACGAAGATTTCATGTTAGGTGTTTGAACTTTCTGTACCGCAAAGTTTGGAGATGGCATGAAATATTGAAAACCTAGCATGCTGAGGTACTTTTCGTCTGACACTCTTCACCCAAATAGATAATATTGACAGTTTGCACAAAATTTTAAATTGCTTCATTTCGTTCTTAAAATCCTGATGGAAAATAAGCCATCGTCTTTTCATCTAGGTGTTTTGGAAACAAAGCAATAGGATCCCAGCTTGTTTCGACAGCAAATGTTCGCTTTCTCTCTTTGGCAATTCACGGCTTTAAAAAGGCCTATTCTTTCTCTTGAGCCACTGTCGATCCATACTTGGATGTAAACTTTCTGCCTACCAATGGTAATTGTCAATCGTTTATACTCTAAAGATTGTCGAATGCAAAGAACTTCAGGAAGCTATGTTTCCGATTTTTCATGGAAACTTCAAAATGTATCAAAAAGTAACAATTATTGTATTTTATGTCTATCTATCTATTAATTATGAACAGTGGGGGCGAGGGCTGAAAAATATTTTTGGCTTGTGACTTGTGCTTAGTTCAAGAAATTTCAATTACAAAAAAATCAACTTTTTCCCCGAAAGATTATTTACAAAGACTCTTTCAAGAATGGATAGCTTGATGTTTTCTTTAAGCACTAAGAGCTGTGAATAAAATTTTTGACTGCAAAAAGCAGAAAAAGGTTCATAAACAGAAATTTTGCAAAGTGTATTTATTATTTTGACTTGGTTATATATAGCAAAGCACAAGACCACTTTATCGAGTGAGGAAGTGATTTGAATGATAGTCTTGTTATTCGACTTATGATATTATAGTCTCCTTGATCTTCAGAAAATCTAAATCGAGCTTAATAATTATCATACAGATTGATTTTATGCATATATTGCTAGGATGCAATGATTATACACGTAACGTGAAACAAAAAATGCTATTACTTTTTTCTCACCTTTACTAATGAAACACTTGTTCATCTTCTATATTGCTTTATAAATAGTTGTTTGCTCGATCTTGGCACATCCTACACTTATGGCAGCAGCAAAATGCATCTAAAGAGCTTGTAAAACTAAATACAGATGCACACAAATGGACCAACGCAAAGTATGTTGGGTCTAATTATGCGATGCAAATTCTGTGCTAGTGCATAAGGCGTCAAAGTTTTGTCCAAGGAGCCTTAAAACCGAAATCACTGTCGAAGTAAAATTGATAACGGAACATGAACAATTTATTGTTCAAAATCGGACTTGCATTTAATGCCCTTTATAACGTCAAATTCCAAATATTTAGTTTCTGAAGACTCGTCTTTCCAAAATTATGATCGAATATATAGTCCGAATTTTTCATGCATTTAATTTTCAATATATCACTTAACAACGTACCTCAGAATTTTACCATGCCAAAAACTGAAATGGTATTTCGCAAGAAGGCAGATTTTCCCCTCCAACAAGCTATAACCATTGCTGCAAGGGTCTCAAATTCCGTTTATTTCAGTCACCGTAAGATCTCTCCAAAAGTTCCAATGAACTTTGAAAATACCACAATGCAATCAAAACTTAAAAGATTAATTTGCTACAAACCTGGAAAACAAAGGCTAAAAAATCGATATTTCCCTGGACCACGTAGAGAACTATCAACATCCTGTTGTTTGAAAAATTCCTGAAAAACTTTTTTTTATTTCTTTATATAAAAGTTGGTACAATCTTTAGCTACACTCAAGCTAATAAGAACCAACTAATTTAAATTGACAGCGCTATATATAATGTAAATCAATTATAACCGATGTTGCATACGTATTCCTTGCGAAGATCACAAGTACAATGGAACGATCAAAATTCTGAGACTTTTTTCTTGAATATTTGTTAAGTTGGGGAGTATTTTATTTCGCTTGAAACAGGACTTACTTTAATCAGTTTTGCTCTTAGGAGAAAAGGTGGGCAAAAAGTATCTTTGAGTTTCCTTTGGACTAGTTCATGGCTTTCTATAAATAAAAAACTGTATTTCATTGCAATTTCGTTGGGGTATGTTGTACAGATTGATAAAGAAGGTTCTACTATTCTACAAATTGTTGCCTTGCTCCCAACATTTGACGTCCCTGAAAAGTTTTTAATGTAAATGCATCAAAAGTCATACGCAGGTTGAAAAAGCGGTTAATTGAAAAAATGATTGAATAAAATTTATTCTTTATATTTGCTGCGTTGAACATTTAGCAAAGTGACAAATATGACCTTTTCAAGAAAACATTGAACCTTTATTTCAGTTTTGATAATGTGAACAATATATTTTTCCAGTTTAATTCATCGCTAAATTTACAAAATATTAATAAATTCAGTTCAACCAAAATCTTCAATATTTGTTCAATAAAAAGCTTGTACAGAATGATCAACAAAATTAAATTTTATTCTGTTTTATGAAGAGCATTATCAAAACTTCTTCAGAACAAAAATATTTTGCTCTAGTTGATGAAGCAATTGAGTTGCAGCAAGTGATTTGGAGCATTTTACAACAAATATCTAATAAAAGACAGTTCATACAGTTAATTAAAGAAATATATTTTATATTCATATTTGTCTTATCATTATATATTTTATAGCATTGAATAATAATGCTTTTGCAGGATGTTATAGCAATTAATTTGCAGTAAAAATTGAAGAGGTTGTAATTTAGACATCTTAAATAGCAACAGTTTCTGCAAGTTATTAAATCAATTCATTTCCATGAAATTGTTGAACACTTTATTGCCTAAATATTTGAAACAAAAGCAAGCAACCAACATTATAAAGAAATTCCAATGTGGGAAATTTCAAAACGCATTTCAAATCCAATGTATAACAACTGTATTTACTGGCAAATAAACAACTGATTATCAAGGTAAGTCTTCTAGCATTACGTCATCTAAGTCTTATTCCACATTTTGAAAAAATGAAATCACTTGATGGTCAGTGGTAAGAAAGCTCAAAGATTGTATGGGGTGAGCTGTTTTCTTCCAGTATAAAGTGAAATAAAAAAATTTTCTAGTTTCCTGATAAAAGGAAATGCATTATCAAATGAATTTATTTTTACATTATTTTATATAGTTTTACTTTATAAAATGTATTCAGTTGGTATTCAGAGTATTCAAAAATCTTTCCAAAGTAATCACAAAGTAAAGAACTGATGTTTCAAAATTGTTTTAAAATTTTGAGAATATTCTGGCTTGAAAGCGTGACAAATCTTAAATAGTTTTGCTGGAAGAATAAAAAAACCTGGTCAGGTTAAAAATTCAGAAGAACTTGTTCTAGATGAAGAATTTTTATGGACAAAGAACTTGTAACATATATAACTTTGATCAAAAGTTACTGAAATTTACATACAGTCATTATTGTTCGTTCTTGATGCGCCTCTACCTGTCTACACCTGCAAAAGTTACTATTTGCATTTGTAGAAACCGGCTAGTAAAAAGAGACTTGACTAAGAAATAAATCGTTTTTAGATTGTTGCTGCTGGTGATTTCTGCAACTGTAAATAGAAAAATACTTCGTCTGCCATACAAAATCTTTGCAAACTTCTTTGTGGAGCTTTTTAAGCTATGATCTGTATTTCATTCTTTGGAAATTTGGCAAACAGATGTACAAGACTGAATGCATCATTGAGCATCGATGCAAATCTATTAAAAAAAGGAATTGATTGTTTGCCAGTTGAACAAAAGAACAGAACAGGATCCCAAAGATTCTCGATGTTTTGATGACATAAAAGAGAGAAAAGTGCACAAAAGTTATAAAATTAATGCAAAGAAGGAAAGAAATGAAACATATTTTATATGTGTTCTGACGATTTTTACCTCAAGCTCACATACTTGAAGATATTCTTGCCTGTTCAAGAACACAGTCACATACCGACCAAGCAACAGCCTTGGACAATTGAATATTTTCAATTCACCGATTGCCAACCTTCCATCTTTTATGCAAAGCTCATTGTTTCGACCGCCATTTGAACTATCATCCCCAACACTGACATCGAATGGATTGATTTTGTCTTGACCCCAAGTTGCGCCACTTCTTATTTGGACACTTGTGACAGCAGCTTGCCTTGTAAGGTCTACTTGCCACCAGGGTACTATATCAGCTTTTGTGATACTGCATCGCTGCCAGTCCCCAGTTCTGTCACCGTCATTTCCAAAGCTGGCAATAAATGTAATTCCATCATATTTATGAGCAGATGAATGCGAGGAAGGTTTTTTATAAGCGATATTTCCTTGAACGCCTAGAATTTAAGTCAAATCAAAGGATTTTATTAGTAAAAACATCTTATAGAATACTCCATCTTCTTCTTTACTGTCAAATTGCAACATAAAAATGAAAGGATCATACAAGGAGGAGCAAAAGTCAATGACTACCCTATGGCCATTACATGGAAACACTCACTGCCAACCCATGCATAAATAAGATTGATTAAGGTAAAACAGAAAGAAGTTATGCAAAATAAAATAATTCGGAATGTGATGTGGAGAGGAGAAATGTTCACAACCCCAATCGTAGCTTAACAGAAAGTTTAAGGAAAAGTCCGTTCAGTTAATGAAACCATTTTGTAATTTAGAGAAATTCAAGAACTAAACTCAGAAAAAATTCAGAAAAAAATCAAGCACTCCTTAGGTAAAATTGTGCCTTATTTTGATCTTCACTAATTTTTTTTGGAAGAAGCATCAATTACAATTCATAATGGGTAGAGATCTTTTCTACACGCATAAAAATATTTACTATCCTGTTATTGATTACTAACTACAGCTGTTGATTACATGGGTTTGGAAGTAACAACTCATACCTCTTCTTGCTTGTTTCTTAGACCATATAATGAAGTTTGATCCCTCGGTCGGGATATCTTGCTCATCTCTAAATTGATGAAAAATGTTTTTCTTGATATCCTTAACAAAGTAACGACAGGTGTTATCAAGGCTGCATTGATGGAAGGCCTTATGCAACGTGCTTGTCGTTATCTGAGTTGGGTTGTGCACTTCTTCGAAAGCAGATTTGCTTGTACTTTGACTCTCATCTGACTTTATTGAAGCATAGCAGAAAATATTGAGAAGCAACGTCGCGAGCATGAAAAGTCCCATTTGGACAATAGACGGATTGAAATCTTTCCTAGAAAACAAATTAAATTGATATTAACTTTTATTGTCAAAAAATATAATCAACATGTTTTTAAATCATGTAAAAATGCTGTGAAAATGTAGTCTTATTCAAAGATCTTACATATTTCTATCAATAACTTTTTATTTCAAATTAAACCATTGGAAAACTAAATGCAGCATTGTAGATTTCCAAATTTAATTTTTAAAGGATTTAAAGGATCTCCAACGTTTTAAAAGTTGATCGAAATGGGAGACCTGTGTTGATACTTAGCGCATAAAAATTCAGGGGAAAATTTTGTAGGTCATGACTTTCTTATCTAAGCAGATGAGACTTGAGCGTTTACCATTATTTGGTACCTTGTCCCTAAGCTAGGAACTAAGCCCAAACTTGTAGGTTTTTGGAGAGCAGTTGGCATTGTTTGGCATTGTAGTTGACCCTTGAGGATATTAAATTACAAAAAGTTCTTTAACAAGGCCTCATCTCCCCCCCCCCCCTGGTCCTGTCCTGTCAGCAAAGTTCTTTGCTATTACTCATGCGACGTTTTGTTGCAGAACTCGAAATGATCTAAGCTGAAAATTGCTTGCTCGTAAAATGTGAACCTAATAAACCCATTTGAAGTAAACTCTGCGAAAATAAATGAAATGATTTTAAGTCAAAGGAAAAGGATGGGGAAGCACAGACAAAAGTGTAAGATTTTAATTACCGATTAACCGGAAAGGGGATGTTTGTATTCCTCAAATTTCGGAATAGTCGGAATGGGGAATACTAGACTAAAAATAAAATATAACTTACTTTCAAATTGTTGAATTTTTCTTACAACTGTTTCTGTTTCTGTCCAGCCCAGCAATACTTCACTCCTCTTTATGTTAAATTATTTGCGCAAAGAAAAGATGCGAATCTAAAAGTAAAGAGCTATTTAGGCAGTACATCATTTGTTGAGGGATTTTGTTGTTTGTTAAGCTAGACAATTGAATTATTCCTCCTGCATAATTAATGCAACTCCTTCGTATTCTTTATTTTGTCCATTACTAATGAATGCAATCCCATATTACGTGAACAAGTGCAAGATATATCTAACAAAGATTTCCTTTTAAACTCAAATTCACAGCGATAGGCACGGAACACCTTTATGGAAAAGTTTTAAACCTGGCAGAGGTTTCTTAATTCTAACTAACTGTATACAATACGGCCTTACGATATGCGAAAAGACCTTTTGAAAGAGTGCAGGGCTGAAAAAAGGGAAATGGAAGGATGGAGAAGGATACTTGCTTCCTATCAACATCCGGCCAGAAATAATTGTACACATTTTCGATGATCGCTAATTTGGCTTCCAAATGTGTTTATCCTAAACAGAAAAGGATGGGCTCATTTTCCTTTTCATGGTCTACTAGTCGAATAAAAGCTATTTGTTTGCTGACTTGAACAATTTTTTTCAGAGTACATGAAATAGATTTGAAATTAATAGAAATATAGAAAAGAAAGTGCAAAATTTCGTATGCAAGGAGAGCAATTTTTTGGTTGATACATAATTTAAAACTCCCAGGGGATATTGGTTTGGTACAAAGAGTGAATTCTATTTTTCCTCATTGGCTATCCTCATTGGCTTGAACCTAATTCTTATCGATATAATTTCCTTTTAATTAGCATTAAAAATTTGACATTTCTAAAACTTTCGTTTATATAATTTGAATAGAAAAAAATCTGAAGGTTAAAAAAGGAATACTATTTTAATAAATGATTTAATAAAATTCATTCTAAATATCTGATAGTATGATCATTTGACATGCCTATAAAGCCTTAGGTTCTTGAAAAAAACTTTTGCTATTTTTTCTACTTTGATTATATAAGCAATAGAAAATTTAATATTAATCAATGCATTTCAATACAAAAATATTCATCATCAACTGTTTACATAAGATAATGAAGAAATGGACTTTTTTAAATTTAAAAGTACTATTTATCTAATTTTCTTTAGAAATTAAAAATTGCGCAATTTAATAAATCAATCGATTTGCAGCAAATGATTCGACGCAATTAGAATGCTAACTAACAACAGATCCTTCAAGCTACTAAAGCAAAACTTTTCTCAAAATGCATGTCTGTATTATTATTTTATTATTTTTCTAAGCAACAAGAACTTCTGCAGGTTGATTAGGTAATTGACTTTCGGCAAAAATATTAAGAAATTGCATCTGAAAAATCTTTAATAACAACAGTGTTTTCAACAGTGTTAAACAAATGCAAATTTTCAAATGTAATGATAAATTCCGATGTTGTCAAACGTAAAAACAGATTCCAATTTCAATTTATGGGAATATAAAATCAGTTGATGGTCAGTGCAAAGTGTGTTTAAAGTTGGTAAGAAGTGAGCTGTTTTCTTCCAGTATAAGGTTAAAAGACAAAGTTGTCTGGTTTCCCGATCAAAGAAGATGCATTTTCAAATGTATGTCTTGATTTTAAAATGTTATATTATATATGTTTTTCCATCTGTTCTTCCAGAAAAGTCAACTTATTTTACGCGTTTGTCCTTTTCTTCATTCCCGATGTTGCTCCATTCGCTTGTTTTAGACTTTGTACTTCTTTCTTTCCCCTTTATTTACTTTTCAATTGGTGATCGTTATCATACTATTTTAGTTTTGTGCAAGTCTTTGATTCAAAACCCGTGCTTTTGACACTAACTTTTTTCTGAAAATGAAGCAACGTAGAATGTTGGCCACATCTGGAATCGATTGTTTTAACTTAAGAATTTGACGGACAATATTTCTATGAAAAAGTCTTACTTCGAATTTTCTTTCTTTCAATTTGCTAACTTCATTTTTGTTTTTCAAGGATGAATTGTGACAAAGATTACTGTTACATTTTCTTACATAAAGTTTTAATTTATAGCAAAGGTTGTCTCGAAGTAGATCTAAAACTCTGTTAGCCTTTAGAGAATATGTGGTCTTGAAAGTGTAACAGCTTTATTAAAGTTTTGCTTGTGAAGACAAAAAAAAACGTATTAGGCTTAGGTTCCGAAGTACTTTCCTCCGGATGATTAAACGTAGTTCAGCATTCTAACGGAAGATTTTCTTGTGAGAAATAATTCTATCTAAGATGATATTTATAAATAATTTCTGTAAGCTTTTTTTTGATTCGCGAAACTTTATCATCAAAATTTTTTATGCTTAAAAACAACTATTGTTGCTAGGTTTGATGGGCTTCTTTATGTGTATATCTTTAATGGACAAAGAGATTTTGTAATTGCTTTTGTAGAAAACGGCTAGTAAAAAGTAAGCCTTGATTCAGTACTAATATTTTTTAGACTGTTGCTGCTTGTGATTTCTGTAAATACAAATGGAGAAATACTTCGTCTGCCATGCAAGATCTTTGCCAATTTTACTGCTGTGCTTCATGATCAATCACTTAGTTCTACATTTCGTTCTTTGGACAACTTGGATGAGCAGATGTGTAAGTTTGAATGCATCATGGAGCATCGATGCAAGTCTATAAATTTAAACAGAGAGCTTGGTATTTGCCAGTTGAATAGCAAATCAGCACAGGATCCAAAAGATTTCATTGAAACGCAAATAAAGGAGGGTTGGACATATTATTCAACCCGTTTTGAAGAGAAAAATGTGAGTTTTCTTTTCAAATACCTATTTAAAATTCAACTAACTTTATAAATTTAAAAATTAATTTGGTGACAGAAAATTGCGAAAAGGGCACATATAAAAATTAGTTGAAAGAGAGAAGAAAGAAGAACAACAAGTCATTGATCAAGATGAGCATCAAACACAGCTTTCAATCTTTATCTTTTTAGCTCTGCAAAAAACATGCCCTTAAAGAAAAAGAGCTTTTTTTCTCGTAAATTTCAAGACTAATATAGCACTCGTGATATGTTGTGATAGGGCTAACAATTGATCATTCATGAAATAAAATTTTTACATTGCAGGTTGGTCAGTATTGCCAAGCAAATGATCCTTGCAGCGCCGGACATAAATGCATTGACACTTGCTACTGCCCAGGGTATAAATGCATTGGTAAATACAATAGCAACTACATTGCTTTTGGGGTACAAAGTGCTATACAACCAGTTTTGCATGTTTTGTTTCTAGTAAACTAATTGTGTTGTGTGCCAATGTTTGCGTCAGTACTGTTGTTTGTTTCCTTGCCATCAACATTCTATATCATTGCATCATCCCATCAAGACTATTGTTTTCATCAGTCCCTTTGTTTGATATAATCATCGTGTTAAAACATAATTAGGGTTTGTTTGTCAAGTGGTATATTTGCTGTACCCTTGTTCGTAAATTCTGTCGATTTGAAGTTGACGTTACCTTTAGTCGTGTTAAAGTTACCGTTACGCAAAATCGTTATTGTGGAGTCGCCGAATATTTGTAGTGTCAGGTTTTGATACATCCTCGTTTTTGTTCCAGTTTATTGCCGTCGTTTGGATATCGAATAGAAATTATGTACATTTTTGTTGTCCTTCTTTCGTCTACGTTTATCTGTAAAACCTTATAGTTTTACAAAAGCCCTTGTTTTGTATTGTGCATAAGAAGAGTTTTTAATACAATTACTTTTTGTAAATTTTCTTCCACCCACAGCAAAGAATATCGCCTATAAGAAGCCATCTTCCCAATCATCAACCCATACATATAACGGAATAGAACTTGTTGCAAGCTTTGGAAATGATGGTGACAGAACGGCAAACTGGCAGAAATGTAGTTTCACCAGTTATGAAGAGCAGCCCTGGTGGCAAGTGAATCTTGAAAAGGTAGCCGCTGTTACACATGTTCGGATAACAAATTCTGTAGCCTGGCCTACACATGATATAAACCCATTCAATGTTAGTGTTGGAAAAGATAGCTCAAACGGCGGAAGAAACAATGCGCTTTGTGTAAATGGTGGAAGGTTGGCTAGTGGCGAGATGAAAACTTTTTATTGTCCAAAGCTGATGATGGGTCGCTACGTGAGTGTGTTTTTGAACAGGAAAGAATTTCTTCAAGTATGCGAGCTTGAGGTTTATGAAGGTATGTTTCAAATAATCTAATTATTTGTGGCTGGTTTGTTTGATATTTGTTTCAAATATTCTATCTTTCTTTTTTTGGTTCTTGGTTAAGTATATAGACCAGGCAATATCACTCGATTTGTTGTAAAAATACAAAGCTCTTTCTTTTTGTCTTCACCCAAATAGTACAGACAAAGTCTGAATGAAAAGATAATTTTTTTCTTTTACACAGGTTTTTGTATTGGCATAATTCTGACCAGTAAATAAGTTACTGTTAAAATAAGATGAAATCCAAACGTGAAATTATTATCCAAACAAAATGCCAAAATGGCAAAACAAGATTCTGCAAGGAAAATATCCATTGATCAATTGGCTTTTACTTTAGGATTTGGCATGCAGACTGACTTTAAACCAAAGCTTAAGTCAGCAAAAGTGATAAAAATTATCATTGGCCTCTCTAAAACTAAAATGCCAGCTGAAAAATGATAAATTTGAGTATCGCTTGCAAAACATTTTTATATATGCATGTATATATTTTTATTAGGTAATTATTTCTTTCTTTTATCATTGATATCAGAATGTAGATCTCTTGAGACTCATTAGATGTTATTCCTTTTGTTTTCTACGTTGACATGGTGATCTGTTGCTTGGCAAAAACTTCTCAAAATGCTTTTACCAAAATAAGGCATGGAATGTGTGTTTTTTCTATCAACAAGTACCCAATGAATTTTAAAACTAAGTTTTAATATTCTTTATCCGACCATAATTTTGTTAACAGCGAAGAATTTGGCATATAAAAAGCCGTCCTCGCATTCATCAACTTCCACCATAAATGGAATCACATTAGTTGCCAGCTTTGGAAATGATGGGAACAGAACTGGAGATGTGTTTAGTTGCAGTGTCACACAAGCTGACATGGCACCCTGGTGGCAAGTTGACCTTACAAGGCAAGCTGCAGTCACAAGTGTCCGAATAAAGAATGCCGCAACTTGGGGTACAGATAGAATCAATCCATTCAACGTCAGTGTTGGGGACGACAAGACGAATGGCGGACAAAACAATGCACTGTGTGTGAAAGACGGGACACTGGTCAGTGGAGAGTTGAGAAAGTTCGATTGTCCACAGGTCCTGATGGGTCGTTACGTCAGTATCTTTTTGAACAGGCAAGAACTTCTTCAAGTATGCGAGGTTGAGGTTTATGAAGGTATGTACTTGAACTCAAGGCTTTCTTTCTAATATACCATTGGTTACCAGACTAGAGCCTCGTTATTTCTGAGATTTAATAATGGAGACTATGGGACCCAGGGTATTTCGAATAAAGGGCAAAAATTCTCGCAGCCACTGCACTGAAGGCATTTGCGCGTCTAAAAGCTGTGGATAAATTTTTCTACCAACCGAACATTCGACACATACATTGAGAACATAAATTTTCAACAGATTAAATTTCGGACAATGAACTTAGTCGAAGGAATTTTATATCATACTTTTAAAATTTCGGACAGACAAATCTTCAGGAAAATTTTGAACAGTCTTTTGGATGTGTGAAGCGAAAAGACATGAGGTTCTAGTTTCACATTCGTTTCACAAAAGTTTTAAGAAACTTTGGAAGAATATCTGACTATTGAAATCATGACAATGTCATAAAACATTATGTACAGGAACGGCTCAAATCCTTAGTTTAGTGGCTCAGTAATTGACGATGAGAACAATAATGATAATTATTTGAACTGGTGGTCCTATTAACTTGGAAAAGGGCTTTTTCAAAAAAAAAATTTTTCCAAAAATTTTGTAATCACTCATGTTTAAAGATTGTAGCCTTAGCTTTAGTCAATATTCACTGCGCATATGTGGATCATAAAAAAATTGTCGACGTGACAACCTTCCGGATAAAGTTGTCATGCCAAAAATTTTTTACTTAATGTAGATTGCAATCTAGTCCTCCTGGGTGATGCTTTCTATTTTGAATATTGATCTAAGCCTATGTTTAGTGCTTTCTGGTGGCTGGAGAGTCGTACAATATAGAACAATTATATTTGTTTGCTTTAGTTATCTTGGACATGATATCTTTGACTATCAAAATGGCTAAAATGACTTATTGCTACAAGAATCAAAGGATCAATGTTCAAAAAGGTCTATTTCTTTTTTCAAAACTGTCAACAGTTGAAAGAATGAATGGGTACCAGACCCACATAAATTCGATCGCAGGACTAGAAGATTCGAGAAGAGGAGCAAAGTGATAAATATTCGCGAGTTTTATCAATAATCATTATAATCGTTTAAGAACCACGCCCGTATCTAAAGCCATACACATTTTGTCGGCAAACCATCGGTTTTGTAGCCCCCTCCATCAAAATTTTCTAGCGACCGCAGTGGCGAAGGTCTCCGCTTCTCCGCTTAGTTTTCTATTTACGTGCTCGAAATTTTGTGGCTCTGGTACTTAGGGTACTTGGCCTTCCTAAAACGAAGAAACAGGGCTCTTTAAAGCAAGCTTCGGCAACACCATACTTTGTTAATTTCAAAAGCAACATATGATGTTCCATTGGCATTTTTCAAATTTAAGTACACAACATCAGACTTTCGTCCATGCAAGCACCACCAATCTCTTTCAGTATGCAAATCTCGCCAATGTATAAAGATTGGCATCAGGCATGAAACGATTACCATTAGCATGAGGACAATTTTGTTTGATTTTTTTGTTTGAGTTTCTATCAACAATTTTTTTGCTAACAGAAATTATACTTTTGGATCAACTGAGTGGATGCTGTGATATCAATTCTGTCATATTGTGATATTAAAAGTTTATATTAACATGAACTTTTCATTTTAGATGTATTCTGAAAAGAAGTCTTCTGAAATCATCATTTGTTTTCTACTTCCTGGAAAGCAAGGATGCATTTGAAGAGAAGAGCAATATATCTACTACAATTTGCAAAAAAGAATTTTAAAAATGCACGGAGCTTTCAGGTTATTTTATCAAAACGTAATTTGTCATGTATTTTAGGTTAATTTTCTAGTAAATTCCGTTGTTTTGAACAGGAAGACAGGGAATCTTAATCGTTCTGACAAACACTAATTTGAAGTTGTTTCATTTAGGAAACCACTCCTATATAATTCTAGAAAAACAAAAGCTAGTCAAGCAGAAGGTTTACCTAGCATTTCCTTTGTTAGTTTGAGAACCAAATTTGGAACTGATTGTTGACGTGGTTTTGCCTAGAAATGTCTATAGGAAGGGTTGTAATGAAATTTTTTCCAATCGGCATGAACAAACTAATAAACAATAAATTTGTAGACAAATTTTGATAGAAGAATATAACCGTAACCAACAAGTTTTAAAAAAGTGAATCAATTCTAATAACAGTAGAGCAATTGAAATTCTGAGCACAATCCACAACGATATTACAGTAACGGTCCATGATAGTCGAGGCGTGCATTATATGATATCATCATATTAAAAGATCAAAGAAAACTTCAGGAATTTATTTAAGAATTTAATTGACGACAAATGACGTCAGATACATATGACGTCAGAAAGATGTAGAACATCATGGATGTTACATTTTGCAGACATCAGCAGTATAAAATCAATTATTCATTAATTAAATGTAATAAATGAGAGCAATTGATTGGTGAATAATTTTTTTAGATGGAGCGAATCCCGCGAAAATATGTTTTTATTGACCTGTCTCCAAATTTGGTCATATCCAAGTCACGTGTAACAATTTTCAACAATAATAACTCTATGATATTATTGGTGACTTCCTGATGTCAATATTTTTGCACATAGTAGAATATTTGCATATTTCGTCCGACATCTTTTAGACTATAAACCGGTTTATCAACACATTATTAAAATGTTTCTCGGCTGATAATCTCCGTCAAGGGTGTCGAAAAGATGGGGTATGGGGGATGGGGTGGTTAGTCGATGTAGATAAGCATGAAAAACCGCTATTATTTTGACCAAAGGAGTTAGTTTAAACCTTAGGTCTCCACTTCTATATTCAAAAGACAAGTGGCATTGGTTGGGCAGCCTTAAAAATGACTTACATGACACTCCTTGTAACATATTGTATTGTAATACTATACCCGTACGTTACATTTGGAAATAATGAAATCATTAGATGTTCAGAGTTCAGGGTAATTAATGATGGCAAGTGAGTTTTAATGCAAAAAGGAGCAAGAGAACAATATTTTATACATGGAAATTGTGAAGGAGAGAAAACCACTGACACCTCAAACAGTCGGCTGTAGACCGGTTTCGCCCCATATCAGGGATCAATAGTACAGCTAGACTGATTCACGACCCAATGCTGACCTAGGGCCAGTAATTAGGCTGTCAGTCGCAAAGCATGAAGGAAAAGAAGTACGCATGATTCTTAGACACTCGAAAGTCTCTTTATGCAATATCAATAAGAACCGCACCGCAAAGCAGTGCTGAGGTTTTGGCTGTTTGCCATTCCACAGAGTTGCAGTATAAGTGTGAAGTAAAGAAAACCATTGAAACCTCAAGCAATGAAAACCACTGATACATGGAAAAAAAGTGCATTATCAAGTGTATGTATTTATTTACATTACTATATACAGTTTTTTTTATAGAATGGTAACGGACAATGAATCTTGGTTTTCATGCTAGGAGGTCATGATGGTCACGATTTAATTTAATTTTTGATTTTGAACGACCATTGCCTTGCAGAAATGCACACCGTTTCAACATGTGTAGAGTGTGGTGAAACTAGCCTATTGTCACCTTCCTTAAAAATATTTGCATGTATTGTGTTGACATTCAATAAAGAACACATCGCTATTGAGTTCAAACTGAATAGCGCATTGAAGCGTGGTTGTTGGTTTTTATTACTAGTGGATATGTGTTGATTAGAGCCTAGTTTAGATTTAATCTACGTCTCTTTTCTTTTTTCTCTACCTCGTGACATAGAGTGAACACAATGATACGACATAGCTGCTTTCGTTAAAGTATTATATGTAACTCGTTCTTAATATAGTTATACAAATATTTGTACTTATATTGCATCAAGCTGAAAAACTAAAAATCTTTATAGTTGTAAAATGTATCTATAAAGATTCATTTTAAACAAAAATAAATTACACAAGTGTATATATGTCAGTCAGGTTAGGTCACGAGACTTGCTAATGGTGGTCATGCCATCCAGTATTACCTGTCTACATGATCGAGATGCCGGCGACCAAACTGGCAACCCAACCCTTTTTGGGGGAGGAGGGTGCGTGAACACCATTCAAGCGGAACCAAAAAGATGTGTTAAAATGCGGATGAACTCTATGAGTCAACAGCCATCTATACTGGGAGAGGAGATGTGCGCCGCTGAACTACCTGCCTACTGATTCACCCATGAACAAGACAAACCAGAATTCCATACTGGATCGATCGAGGCCCAGTATAAAAACGATCGAGTTTTCCGTTGATTGTCATCAGGACGGAGACGGTTAGCTACTGCAGACCGCGGTATAAACCTAGCGAAAGCAGAAATCATCATAGGAACATGAAATGTGAGAACAATGAAAGATCGAAATACTAAGAAACGAAATGAGCAGACTGAACTGGAATATATTCAGTTTATCAGAAATGAGATGGACGGGCATGGGTGAAACAATCACAGAAGAAGGTCACAAGGTATGGTTCAGTGGTGACGATAATAAGCATGTAAATGGAGTTGAGTTCATTGCACGCCAAGACTTAGCTCGGTACGCTATAGAATATCAGCAATATCCAGCCACATTATGACGATACGTATCGATACAAGAATAAACTAACAATTGTGCAAGTCGACGCACCAACTTCAGCCTATACTGACAAGACTAAGGTGATGATGATGATGATGATGATTAAAATTAGCACGATGTAGATAGCTCCTTACTAATGTCTCCTAATGTTGAGTTGGATTAAAAAAAGACGAAAATATTTACGTAGCAATGTTACCCCCTCTGAACAATAGTATTAATTATCCGTATTAATTATAGTTAACCAGCCTCAATCTGAGTTTACACGAGCTGTATGTTGGGCCTTCTTGTGTGTGTTATTATGGCGGAGATAATTATCTATATTGAAGTCCTATTTCGTCTCACATCTGGCCTATTACAGCAATTGCTTGGACTAGCTTCCATATTTATATAGACAAGTTGCTGAAAGTTACCGTTTTCCGGTCATTAAAAAAGTGTTCGGTGCTGTATAGGCAGAACAGATGCCTGATGATCGCATTAAGCATGAAACTCGGAGTAGCAGCTTTGAATAGTCCTGTTCTATACACCAATTCATTCATTAAGTTGATTATCCTTTTCTACTAGGCATGAGACCGACTGGCCTTTGGGGCTACAGGCATGAGACCGGATTTGTTTGGTATTACACGTTGCAAATTTAATGAATCCAGATGAAACAAATGCTTTCCAGCTAGAAGAAGAGTGGGTCGTACTTAAACTGGCCCCAATAGATAAGGTTTTATTCGGGTCAGCTACAACAACAATCTATGAAATAAGCGTATCTAGATAAAATCCTATGCAGTTTCAGACAAATCATTTCAGAAAGTCGTGCAATATCAAGAAAAACTCTTTGCTCTTTCGGATTCACTTCTGTGTTAGCAGGACTTTAGGAGATAATTCAACAACCAATGTTACATAAGCGAAAATAAGTCAGCGACATCCAGAGAAAGTAAAAGTTGAGCTGAATAGCTATCTCATTACAATCAAGGTATATTAAGCTATTGTTACAGACTGTTTACAGAACATATAGAACAATAAATATCGAACATGAAAAAACATTAAACGATGCTTTATACGAACCATTCTGTTTGAAATTCGTAAACCTCAAGCTCACATACTTGAAGATATTCTTGCCTGTTCAAGAACACAGTCACATACCGACCAAGCAAAGGCCTAGGACAATCGAACTTTTTCAATTCACCACTTGCCAACCTTCCATCTTTCACGCAAAGCGCATTGTTTCGTCCACCACTTGATCTATCATCCCCAACACTGACATCGAATGGATTGATTTTTTCTTGACCCCATGTTGCGCCATTTCTTATTTGGACACTTGCGACCGCAACTTGCCTTGTCAGGTCCACTTGCCACCAGGGTTCGTAGTTCAGATCTGTGATACTGCATCGCTCCCAGTCTCCAGTTCTGTCACCGTCATTTCCAAAGCTGGCAACTAATGTGACTCCATTTACGGTTGATGTTGATGAATGTGAGGACGGCTTTTTATCAGCGATATTCCCTGGAACGCCTGGAATTTAGGTCAAATCAAAATAATTTCATCGCAATCTCAAAAACCACTTTCCTTAAATTGAATTGCCATAAAGAAGCAGGCAACAAGTTCCTAAATTATCAAAATATCATATTGCATTCTATTCGTATAAAGACATCTTGCAGAATATTACATTTTTCTATTCATCTAAAAGATTACATCAAATTCCAGTATACTTTTAGGCTGCAACACGATAATAGAAGGATGAAGTTGCAACGTGATAGCTTGGTTGGTTACCTATGATATTCCCCTAGAAGGGAAACAAAACTAAGCCTGAATGAATTCAAGATTTTCGACTGAATACAAAAACAAAGCACTTCTTTCACAATTACTACAGATCTTTTCTACACACATAAAAGGATTTACTATCCAGTTATTGATTACTAACTAGAGCTGTTGATTACATGGCTTTGGAAGTAACAATTCTTCAAAAATTGGAAATTGCGCGAATATATAAATCAATCGATTTGCAGCAAATGACTGGATGCAATTAGAATCTTAAATAACAACAGATCCTTCCAGTTACTAAAGCAAAACTCTTATTATAGTGTATGTTTGAGTTATTATATTCTTATTATTCTAAGCAACAAGAACTTCTGCAGGTTGATTAAGTAATTAAATTTCGGCAAAAATATTAAGGAATTGCATCTGAAAAATCTTTAATCACAACAGTGTTTTCAACAGTGATAAACAAATGCAAATTTTCAAATGTAATGATAAATTCCGATGTTGTCAAACGTAAAAACAGATTCCAATTTCAATTTATGGGAATATAAAATCAGTTGATCGTCATTGCAAAGTGTGTTTAAAGTTGGTAAGAAGTGAGCTGTTTTCTTCCAGTATAAGGTTAAAAGACAAAGTTGTCTGGCTCCCCAATCAAAGAAGATGCATTCTCAAATGTATGTCTTGATTTTGAAATGTTATATTATATATGTTTTTATATCTGTTCTTCCACAAAATTCAACTTTTTTTACCTGTTTGTCCTTTCCTTGATTCCCGGCGTTGCTCCATTCGCTTGTTTTGGACATTGTACTTCTTTCTTTAACTTTTAGTTCAGCATTCTAACGGAAGATTTTTCTTGTGACAAATAATTTTATCTAAGATGATTTTTATAAATAATTTCTGTAAGCTTTCTCTTGATTCATGAAACTATATCATCAAAACTTTTTATGCTTATAAACAACCATTGTTGCTAGGTTTTATGGGCCTCTTTGTGTGTATACCTTTAATGGACAAGGAGATTTTCTAATTGCTTATGTAGAAAACGGCTAGTAAAAAGTAAGCCTTGATTCAGTACTAATTTTTTCCAGACTGTTGCTGCTTGTGATTTCTGTAAATATAAATGGAGAAATACTTCGTCTGCCATGCAAGATCTTCGCAAATTTTACTGCTGTGTTTCATGATCACTCACTTAGTTCTACATTTCGTTCTTTGGACAATTTGGATGAACAGATGTGTAAGGCTGAATGCATCATGGAGCATCGATGCAAGTCGATAAATTTAAACAGAGAGTTGGGTATTTGCCAGTTGAATAACAAATCAGCACAGGATCCCAAAGATTTCATTGAAGCACAAAAAAAGGAGGGTTGGACATATCATTCAACCCGTTTTGAAGAGGAAAATGTGAGTTTTATATTGAAATACCTATTTAAAATTCAACTAACTTTATAAATTTGAAAACTAATTTGGTGACAGAAAATGGATTGCGTTCCTACCAAACAAAAGAGTTCCGTCATTTATGAATTTACGTGCCAGTGTGATTCTGGCTACGTAAGACGCACAACCCAAAGATTGGGGGATAGGATAAAACAGCATGTTCCTTCCAACATACGAAACAAAACTGCCCCTCAAAGAGAACAGCCTCCTCGATCTTGTAGGTCTAGAAACACTGTTAAAACAAGTGATTCTGCCATTGGTCAACATCTTTTAGACAACCCAGATTGTGCAAAACTCTATAATGACGACATGTTTCGGATAATTGGCAGAGCCCGGTCGTCCTTCCATCTAGTAGTTTTGGAGTCAATCTACATAAAAACGAAAAAGCCGCCATTGTGTAGACAAAAGGAGTTCGTTTTCTCTCTTGGACTCCATTGGTAATTTTTCTTTAGGCTCGCGGCACTGATTGGCCAACTATACCGGTCTTGTTCTTGCGTTTTTCTGATTGGCCTATTTCGATCCACAACTGGGTATATATTTTTCCATCGTGTTTTCTCGGAACCTATTCTGACGTTTTATGCTCTGAGGATTGTCAGACGAAAAAGCTTTTAGTATGTCGTAAAATGATTGCTTTTTTCAAAGCCATTTTTAAACTTTAAGACTAATATAGCACTCGTGATATAATTTTATTAGACGTAGATACGATTAATCATTCATGAAATAAAACTTTTACATTGCAGGTTGGTCAGTTTTGCCAAGCAAATGATCCTTGCAGCGCCGGACATAAATGCATTGACACTTGCTACTGCCCAGGGTATAGATGCATTGGTAAATACAATAGTAACTACATTGGTATCAAGCTCTTTTACTTGAGTCAAAGTAGGCAGCTTTCGAGGTACAAAGACTTTGCTTAGTATTGTGCATAAGAAGAGTTTTTCTTACAATTTCTTTTTGTAAATTATCTTCCACCCACAGCAAAGATAATCGCCTATAAGAAGCCATCTTCCCAATCATCAACCGATACATATGACGGAATAGAACTTGTTGCAAGCTTTGGAAATGATGGTGACAGAACGGCAAACTGGCAGAAATGTAGTTTCACCAGTTATGAAGAGCAGCCCTGGTGGCAAGTGAATCTTGAAAAGGTAGCCGCTGTCACACATGTTCGGATAACAAATTCTGTAGACTGGCCTACTCATGATATAAACCCATTCAATGTTAGTGTTGGGAAGGATAGTTCAAACGGCGGAAGAAACAATGCGCTTTGTGTAAATGGTGGAAGGTTGGCTAGCGGCGAGATGAAAACTTTTTATTGTCCAAATCTGATGATGGGTCGCTACGTGAGTGTGTTTTTGAACAGGAAAGAATTTCTTCGGGAAAGAAGTATGCGAGCTTGAGGTTTATGAAGGTATGTTTCAAATAATCTAATTATTTGTGGCTGGTTTGTTATAAATTTGTTTCAAATATTCTATCTTTCTTTTTTTGGTTCCTGGTTAAGTATATGGACCAGGCAATACCACTTAATTTGTTGTAAAAATACAAAGTTCTATATATTTGTCTTCACCTAAAAAGTACAGACAAAGTCTAAATGAAGAACGAAATTTTTTTCTTTCACAGGTTTTTGTATTGGCATAATTCTGATCAGTAAATAAGTTACAGTTAAAATAAAATTAAATCCAAACGTGAAATTATTATTCAAACTAAATGCCAAAATGGCTAAAAAAGATAATGTGACGAAAATATCTCATTGATTGATTGACTTTTCATTAAGGATTTGGCATGCAAGCTCAAAATTATCTTTTACAATTGATGTACATGCAAATTGTCTTAAATAACTGTCTATTAAAACCAAAACCTAAGGCAAAAAAAGTAAAAAAAGTGATTACTGATCTAAACCTTAAAAGACAGCTTCAATACTATTATTATGAATATGGCCTAAAGAAGATTTATATATAAAGTTTTGTCGTTGATAACAGGATGCAGATCTATATGTGATTGTTTAGTTGTCATGCCTTATGTTGTAACATGCTAAGCTTAAACGTTTTTAAAATGTTAGTCTGTAACACTTAGCATAAAATAACAAAATACTTCTATTAATAACAGGCATGCGATGTGTTATCTCGATCAAGATGAATCCAATGAATTTTAAAACTAAGATTCATTGTTCTTAATCTGACCATAATTTTGATAACAGCGGAGAATTTGGCATATAAAAAGCCGTCCTCGCATTCATCAACTTCCATCATACAAGGAATCACATTAGTTGCCAGTTTTGGAAATGATGGGAACAGAACTGGGGATGTGTTTAGTTGCAGTATCACAAAACGTGACAGGGCACCCTGGTGGCAAGTGGATCTTACAAGGCAAGCTGCGGTCGCAAGTGTCCGAATAAGAAGTGGCACAGCTTGGGGTCAATTGAAAATCAATCCATTCGATGTCAGTGTTGGGGATGATAGTTCAAATGGTGGACGAAACAATGCGCTTTGTGTGAAAGATGGAACGTTGGAAATCGGTGAATTAAAAAAGTTCGATTGTCCACAGGTCCTGATGGGTCGTTACGTCAGTATCTTTTTGAATAGGCAAGAATATCTCCAAGTATGCGAGGTTGAGGTTTATGAAGGTATGTATATTCACATGAAAATTTACTCCTTTAATGTTGGTCACGAAATGTAAATGTAACTTGCATCTTGCTCATTGGGCCATTACTTTTGATAAAGCAACTGATTTTTTGGCTTTAACTACTTTTGGCATTTCATCGGCTAATCCAAATAGAATGGGGCCCAATAATACAAGCAAACAATGTGAAAAATGTATTAACCTGTAGAGAAACATCTAAAGAGAAAAAATGCATAGGCCAATTTGCATGGAGGTCTTGTAAGACCAAAAGCAATGTCGAAGAGAACTCTTTTTGCAAAATGGCTTCCGATGGTCCCGAAAAGGTAAGCTGTCCATGAAATGGATCTAAAAAATGATTCTAAGCGGCTTTAGTGGAGGAAATAGCAGTTTAGCGAAGATTTCATTATCAAAACCCGTTTTCTTGAAAATGGTTCCTGACACTTTGGTGCTGGAAGTCAAGGATATATAAGCCATTGACATTGTTTAGTACAACTTTTGATTGTATAGATATGTACTGTCATAGAAATGTACTTAGTTAGCATACCTCAGGTATATATATGAGTATATTTTCATTTAATTTTTGAAACTAACATTATTCTTTAATTACTTGTTAGCGACCAAAGGTGAAACTGAGTCGCACTATAATATTAATGACTCCAAGGCCGGATACGTCTATTTCAAAATATATAACGTGAAACTCGCATTTGTTTTTCTTTCCAAAACACTAAAATAAACACTATATCCAATTCTTATTGAAGCTTGAGTCTTTGATTATTTTTGAATTATTTTTAAATTTCAGCGATTTAAATTGAGCATTAAAATTTATCTAGACTATATTCTTAAAAACGAGTGTAGCCTGAATTGAATTTTATGTTGAATTTTCTTGGAGTTAAAAAGCTAAGAGTTTCTGCATATTATTCTGTTAGTAGAAATTATATTTTTGAAACAAGTAAAAAGAGGCTTGATATTTATTCTGTCATTTTGTGATATCAAAAGTTTATTTTAACATGAACTTTCCATTTTAGATGTATTCTGAAACAAAGCTTGATAAATCTATATTTATTCTCCACTTTCTGGCAAGCACGAATGCATTGGAAGAGAATTGTAGTATATCTGCTACAATCAGCAAAAGAGGACATTAAAAATGCACAAAGATTTCATGTTATATGTTTGAATTTTCTGTACCGCAAAGTTTGGAGATGGCATGAAATATTGTAAACATAGCACGCTGAGGTACTTTTCGTCTGACAATCTTCAGCCAAAGAGACAATAGTGACAGTTTGCACAAAATCTTAGATTGCTGTCATCGTCTGCCATGGAAAATGAGCCATCGGCTTTTGATCTAGCTTCTTTCGACAGCAAAAGTTTGCTTTCTCTCTTTGGCCAAACACGGATTTAAAAAAGGCCTATTCATTCTCTTGAGCCACTGTCGATCCATGCCTGGATGTAAATTTTCTGCCTACCATTGGTCATTATCATTTGATTATACTCTGAAGATTGTCGAACGCAAATACCTTCAGCAGACTATGTTACCAATTTTTCATGGAATCTTCAAAATTTATCAAGAAGTAACCCTCATTGTAATTTATGTTTTTCTATCTATTAAGTACATTAATTATGAACAGTAGGGGCGAAGGCTGACAATTTTTTTTGGTTTGTGCTTTGTGCTTCATTCAAGAAATTTCAATTACAAAAAATCAACTTTTTTCTGAAAGATTATTTACAAAGACTGTTTCAAGGATGGATAGCTTGTTTTTTTCTTTAAGCTCTAAGAGCTGTCAACAAAATTTTTAACAACAAAAAGCAGAAAATACATCATAAATATATATTCTGCAAACTGTCTTAATTGTTCTGACTTGGTTATATATAGCAAAGCAAAGACCACTTTATCGTGTTAGGAAGTGATATGAATGACAGTATTGTTATTTGACTTATGATATTATAGTCTCCTTGATCTTCAGAAAATCCAATTCGAGCTTAAAAATGGTCACACAGAAGGATTTTATGTATTTGACGTTACGCTGCAATAGTTATACTCGTAACGTGGAAAATAAAATGATATTAAAGTGTGATGCAAAAGAGTTTTCTATTTTCTCTCCTTTACTAATGGAACACTTTGTTCTATATAGCTTTGGATGGTTATTTGCTCGATCTTGGCACATTCTACGCTGATGGTAGCAGCAAAATGCATATAAAAAGCCGGTAAAACTAAATACAGATGCACACAAAAGGACCAACGCAAAGTATGTTAGGTCTAATTTTGCAATGCAAAGTAAATACCTGTTCTAACAAACAGCAAATACACTAGTGTCACAAAACATCTTATCTAAATTCTGTGCTAGTGCATAAGTGGTCAAAGTTTTGCCCAAGGAGCCTAAAAACCGAAATCACTGTCAATGTAAAATTCATAATGGAACATGAAGAGTTTGTTGTTCAAAATCAGACTTGCATGTAATGCCCCTTTATAACGTCAAATTCCAAATACTTAGTTTCTAAAGACTCGTCTATCCAAAATCATGACCGAATATATAGTCCAAATTTTTCATGCATTTAATTTTCAATATATCACTTTACAACGTATCTCAGAATTTTGCCATGCCAAAAACTGAAGTGGTATTTCACAAGAAGGCATATTTTCCCCTGCAACAAGCTTTATCCATTGGCTGCAAGAGTCTCAAATTCCGTTTTCTTCAGTCACCAAAAGATCTCAAATTAAGTTGTCATAATCTCCAGCTACACTCAAGCTAATAAGAACCAACTAATTTAAATTAACAGCGCTAAATATAATGTAAATCAATTATAACCGTTGTTGCATACGTATTCCTTGTGAAGATCACATGTACAATTGAACGATTCAAATTGAGAGACTTTTTACTCAAATATATGTAAAGGTAGGGAGTATTTTATTTCGCTTGAACCTGGGCTTACTTTAATCAGTTTTACTCTTAAGAAAAAATGTTGGCAAAAAGTATATTTGAGATTGCTTTGGACTAGTTCATGGCTTTCTGTAATTTAAAAACTGTATTTAATTGCAATTACGTTGGGGTATGTTGCACAGGTTGATAAAGAAAGTTCTACTATTCTACAGATTGTTGCCATTTGCCCGACATTTGACGTACCTGAAACGTTTTCAATATAAATGCATTAAAAATCATACGCAGGTTGAAAAAGCGGTTAATTGAAAACATGTTTGAATAAAATTCATCCTTTATATTTGCTGCCCTGAATATTTAACCAAGTGACAAATATGACCATTTCAAGAAATCATTATACCTTTTTTTTAATTTGGATAATGTAAACAATATATTTTTCCAGTTTAATTCATCGGTAAATTTACAAAATATTAATAAATTCAGTTCAATCAAAATCTTCAATGTTTGTTCAATAAAAAGCTTGTACAGAATGATCAATAAATGAAATTTTATTCTATTTGATGAAGCATATTTATCAAAACTTTTTCAGAAATTTTTTTTTGCGCTAGTTGATAATTGATGTGCCCCAATTGATTTGGAGCATTTTATAACAAATATCTAATAAAAAACAGTTCATACAGTTAATTAAAGAAATATATTTTATATGCATATTAATCTTATCATCATTCATTTTATAGCTCTGAATAATAATTGCTTTTGCAGGATGTTAAAGCAATGAGTTTGCAGCAAAAATTGTTGTAATTAAAACATCTTAAATAGCAACAGTTTCTGCAAGTTATTAAGTCAAATCATTTTAAAGAAATTGTTAAACACTTTATTGCTTAAATATTCGAAACAAATGCAAACAACCAAATTTATAAAGAAATTCAAATGTAGGAAATTTCAAAACGCATTTCAATTCTGATTTATAACAACTGTTTTTGCAAGCAAAAAAGCAATTGATTATCAAACCAAGTCTTCTACCATTAAATCATCTAAGTCTTATTCTACATTTGAAAAAATGGAATCACCTGATGGTTACTTGTAAGAATGCTCAAAGATTGTATGGGGTGAGCTGTTTTCTTCCAGTGTAAAGTGAAATAACAATATTTTCTAGTTTTCTGATAAAAGGATATGCATTATCAAATGTACCTATTTTTATTTTATTTTATATAGTTTCATTTCATCCAAAGTATTAACTTGATATTCAGAGTATTCAAAAGTAACCCCAAAGAATTTGAAAAGTAAAGAACTAATGTTCCGAAATCTTTTTAAAATTTTGAGAATATTCTGGCTTGAAAGCGTGACAAACCTTAAATAGTTTTGCTGGCAGAAAAAAAAACCTGACCTGGTTAAAAACTCAGAAGAACTTGTTCTAGAAGAAGAATTTTTATGGAGAAAGAATTTTTAACATATATAATTTTGATCAAGAGTTACTAAAACTTATATACAATCATTTTTGTTAGTTGTTGATGCGCCTCTACCTGTCTAAACCTGCAATATAAAAGGAGTATTACTATTTGCTTTTGTAGGAAACGGCTAGCGAAAAAGAGACTTGACTAAGAAATAAATCATTTTCAGATTGTTGCTGCTGGTGATTTCTGTACGTAACTGTAAATAGAGTAATACTTCGTCTGCCATATAAAATATTTGCAAAATTTTTTGTGGAGCTTTTTAAACTATGATCTGCATTTCATTCTTTGGAAATTTGGCAAACAGATGTATAAGACTGAATGCATCATAGAGCATCGATGCAAATATATTAACATAGAAATGAATTGATTATTTGCCAGTTGAACAAATGAACAGAACAGTATCCCTAAGATTCTTGATGTTTTGATGACATTAAAGAGAGAAATGTGCGCAAATTTTTCAAAATTAATGCAAAGAACGAAAGAAATGAGACTTATTTCATATATGTTCTGACGATTTTTATTCTGAAGAGTGTTAAACGAAAAGCTTTAGTATGTTTCATAATGTTTGCTTTTTTCAAAGCCACTTCATCATGCCATTAAAGACTCTTCAAAGAACATACATACGGAATGATCATTATAAAACATGAAATCTACCAATCAGTGGCATAGCGTCCGGGTATTCAAGGTATTCAGTGAATACCCTGAGATTTCTGGGAAAAAATATCAATACGACGTATAATTATGATAAATAAAAAATGCTTTAGGGCTACTTTATTCTGGTTGATTTCGTTACCTTTGATGTTCTACATTTTGTACAAGTACAAAATATCACGAAATGCATGGGAACCATAACGCTGCGAAGCATAGAGAAGCTGAGAGATCTTTGAAGCTAATTTTGAAGATTGAGCTACTTTATGATGAATGGAGATCGGTCAGGAATACGCAGTGAATACCCTAGAAGGTATTTTAACCAATCAAAATGCTCCTTTCCATGAATAATATTTGCTCTTAATCAGCTAAAACAATTGTCATGTACGCTGAGAAATATGCAGCGTACAGCCTCAAAGTTGGTTCAAAATAGTCTCGTTTTGAGATCGATATAAACAGTTAATGGACGTCGGAGCTGTTGGGGTGATGCAGTTTCATTGAAAACAGTAAATATGACTTAATTCAAAGCTCTTGCAATGTCCGTATTACTGTTTCGTAATCATTCTCTCATTTGACCCCTAATCTTCATTTACCCCGTATTGAAGCGGGCTACCGTTTCTGCGAATCTGGTCGCGCGATCGCGCGACTGTTGTTCTAGACGTGCGCAACTAACCCAGTAGCAGTGATTCCCCATTGCCCTGGCGATCGCGCAACTGCTTTTGGGAGTTGAATAGATTTTAACTTTTCTCTGACCAGATTCTCACGAACCAATAAGATGCTTTATTTTTCTTGTCTGGTTTACGTCGTAAAATGCCTTATCACCCTGTCTTGTTTTCTTTGGCGCTTATCCAAAAAATCAACACTACGCTCTTCTACGCTGAGAATCTCGTTTAAACGATGGTAAAAATAACAATTAGGCCAGAAGTCATGTCGATTTTACGCCAGTTTCAGCAAAGTTAATCCCTTACAATAAATCTTGGGTTTGAAAATGGAAGCACGGGCAATACGGAATCGCAGACGGAATGGTCTGAAGAATTATCTATTGAGGAACTTAAATCCTGGTTTCCATATAGCCTTAAGGCTGCCTGCGACTGCCTGCGACTGCTTTCTGCCATCTTCCATCTTCCACCCTTACAGTAGCGCCGGCAAATAGAAACGTTCTGTTTTCAATTGCGTGCAGGATCGGTAACTATGCCGGTAACTTGGTAAAGTTTGAGTGGGAAAATCTGGCGGGCAAAATTCAACAACAAAGCCCTGTTTTCTATTGGTTCTTGCACATCACATGATCCGTTTGAACAAAAGAATGCCGCAGGCAGCCGCAGGCAAGGCGTTTCCATTTGTAATTTGTTTGCCGGCGGTACCGGGAGGCTGCCGTAAGAGCCGGGAAAAGTTGAACGAGTTCAACCTTTTCCCGGCTCTCCCGGCAGTCTTACGGCACTTCAAACAGCTGCCTGCGGTACCGTTAGAAAGCGTTTCCATAAAGAATTATCTGCCGGGGATACCGTAGGGATGGAAGATGGAAGATGGCAGAAAGCAGTCGCAGGCAGCCTTACGGCTATATGGAAACCAGGCTTAAACAATATCGTTGTTTATGGGATACCTCATGCCGATCTTATAAAGATGGCCCTAAAAAGCAGCAATCTTGGCGGGAACTGAATCAGAAATTTAAAAAAGAGGGTAATTTTTGTTTGATTTTTTCCTTCAATTTTAATGACGTGTTTAGACTCTACACAATGTAAAATCGTACTTCCTTGTGCATTTCATCAGTTTTTACAGACTTTTGACTCTCTTTCTTTGTCACCGTTTGTATTTCGTTTTCAATGTGTGTTTCTGGCTCATTCACGTTTATTATTAACGATAATGTGACAAAAAATACTTTGCAGCATGGTATACCATATGTAAATATACCGTAAAAGCTCTAAGTCAGGGGAGCTCATATTCTTTTTAGTTCCAAAGTGGATGCTTAAAAGAGAGGGGGGCTTATTTGAAATTTTTGCATGATAAGAGGGTCTTAATAGAGCTTTAACTGTATGTATGATGTGGTATACAAATATTCATATAAATATAATTTTAAAAACATTGTTAAGTAATACATTTCAACTAGACTCTTAGGTATTTTTGTCACTAAAAGATCGAAAACGTCGATATTGAGTTTTCTGGATTCGCATTTTCGAATTCTGATTAATTTGGAATTCTGATTTTCCAGAGGACACCTTAAAGAAAGTTTGGAAAAATCTAAAGGATTGCTTCACAAAGTCCATCAAAAAAAGGTAACTGATGACACGTTCTGTGGTTGCATCCGGAAAACTACCGAAATGTAAAATATTTGATCAGATGACTTTCATTTTTTATTGCGAAAAATACATATATTCTGCGTGTCGAATTACTTTCCACCATCCTCCCTCCCTCTCCAAGAAACGAAAATCTAAATTTATAAAAGATTTAAAATACGTGTTTCAAATACGCCCGCACTCTTTATCATCAAGTTTTGATTATCAATTTAATTACATGTTCTGAATGTTCTGATGTAAAATTAGATATTTTCTAATAAAATAAACTTTTTTTCTGATAAAACAATTAATCGTCAAATGGATCTTGTGTGGATGAAATAGTTTCCCATTGTCATAGGACAGAACCCGCTGGTAAATCAAAATAATCTCTGAAATTGTCTCTTACTACCTTGGCAGCCCTTGTATGCTTATTTGAGCCTGCCTTTTTAAGAGGGAGAAGCCGGCCCATCGAATATTGTCTCTTTCAAACACAGTCCCCCAAAAACGGCCTTTTACCGTTTAAATTCCTCGGCTTGTATTCGGAATTTTACGGTATATCTTCTCAAAATCAAGGAACACATTCTACAAAGCAAATACTTTTATGCGCAGTTTTATGGATCGATGAATCACCTGCCCATATAAAAGCCAGAAAAAAATAGGGTCTATTCAGGATAAGCAAAAAATCTTCATCTCAAAGACATCATGAGAGTAATTAAATCAATTGCGGAAAATGACATGGCAAAGCATTTTGGTTTTTGTGTTTTTTCCCCAACACAACAAACTTGTTTGTTTTCCAAACACACAGCGCTAGCAATATTTTTTAAATGTTTGATCCCTTCGTTTTATTCAATGAAGCAAATTTACAACTGTAATTTTCATTTACGATGCAGGTGCTTGAGTTCGAATTGAAGAGGAATTGGGTACTTTGATTAATTGCAAGTAAACATAGAGTCAGTTTTAATCTCGAGGTACAATTTAACGAATCTATAACTGACTTCACACAGCTCAAACAACGATTACTCTTAGTTGCTGCGCAACAGAAGTATAGTAATGTCACACAGCTCATTATAGATTTAGTCTTGCACATGCAAATCAATCAGAAACATGCCTTTAAAACATGCCATCTTTGTTGTTTTGGTACTATTTAGCGCAAGCAAGGTGATTTCGATGCTTGTAACACAAGGAACATATTTCAGAACAATTGAAACAAATGACGGTGACAATTCTGATATTGGAAATGACGAGCTAGTTTCGACTGAATTCTTTCATAACTATGGTCTTGATGAAAGCTGTAAGTATATAGGATATTCTGCAGATGATAAGAGGTACAGAAAAGCATCCAGTGCTGAAGAGCTCCAGCAGGAAAAGGGATACAATCGAGTTTGGAAGAAGATGGTGTCATTGAATGTCGCATTTAGGAAACCGTCCTTTCAGTCTTCGGTACGTTTTTTTGAAGGAATCAATTTGATTCCGGGCTTCGGAAATGATGGAAACATAACTGGAAAATGGCAAGGATGCAGTCTCACGGAAAATGACGAAAACCCGTTTTGGCAGGTGGACCTTCTTAGGGAAGCTTACGTGACGAGTGTTCGAGTAAAAAGCACTGAGGGTTGGGGCAGTGGTAAAATCAATTCATTCAGTGTAAGTGTTGGCAATGATAGATCGGAGGGCGGCCGCAAAAACCCACTTTGTGTTACAAATGGGCAGGTGGACAAAGGTCAATTGAAGAAATTTGATTGCGACAATCTACTGGTTGGTCGATTTGTGAGTCTGTTTATTAACAGGAAAGAATATCTACCAGACTGCGAAGTCGAGGTTTATGAAGGTATGAAGAATTAATCCAATTTACTATCTAAGTTGTAACCAGCAGCGTCATTAGCAGGGTTTGGGATAAAACTGGGATATTTTTAATCTAATTATAAGACGTTTCTCAGACCTGCTGTCACCAAGAGTTACCTTACGTAAATGGCATGATTGCTGTTCTTCACGAAGGCTTATGATTTTTATTTTCTTCTGCATCGATAAACCCTTTTTGTTTTTAGTTACGATTTTTGAGTTAAGTTGTTGATAAGACGATAGTGGAACAGGGGAAAACGCCCCATCCCCTCAATTTATTGAAACTTTAAGGAAAATAATTATTTTTTACTGCATTGTGTTTCTATGATTAAAAAGCCACCATTACGTAACAAAAAATTACCCATGGACTTTCCTTTGGGAGAATAAGGGCGACTCCTGTTGGTAAAAGGATACTACCAATAGAAAGGCTGCGTCTAACAATATTAGTTTGTCCTGCAAATGCATTGGCATCTGGTGCAGCCACTAAAAGCTAAAAGTAACCCCTCTGTATCTCTAGGATGAACGATTTTGACATGCAAGGGGTTTTCACAAGTTTTTCAAAAATTACATTTTCTCTAACTCTGCCTCAGCTTGTTCTAAATTTTTCTTCATTCTGATCAATTTTGAGGCTTGTGTTCTAACAAAATTGTTCTTATTAGAAAATGGCTGTGCATATAGGAATGCTCGAATAAAATAAGAATCGATTGTAGCTTGACCGTCCGGGACAAGGGGAATCAAATCAAGGTGCTTTGTCACCTACCAATAAGCGACGGAACCGAACTAGAAACTTTGTGGACCAACTTAAGCTTTACAAACCAACGTATAAAGGATTGGCAGGGAGGGGGGGAGGGTTATCACACTTCTACATCCCCGCTAGTAACACCCTTGAGAATCAGCCATACTACAATATTTGCTTGAGAATCCTGAATGACAAATCATGTTGCAAAATTTTGTTTTTTGTTTAATCTTTTAATCTGGAGTACGAAGGATTTGATAAAGAAAATAGGGTGAATGAACAGATTCGCAATGTACAATCGATAAATTATCATTATTCGTATAATTAATTTTTAATTTTTATTATAAAATATCTCCGAGCTAAATTTATAACTGATTTGTAATTTATAATAAAATTTAGTTATTAGGATTAGAGAATCATCAAAATTTTGCTCCAGTTGCAAATTCTTCTCAATTTTCATTTTTGAAGGAAATATCGCGTACAAAAAGCCATCTTCGCAATCATCAACATCTACAATAGAAAGCATCCCATTAGTTGCCAGGTTTGCAAATGATGGTAACAGAACTGGGGATTGGCAAGGATGCAGTATCACAAAAGCTGACGTGACACCCTGGTGGCAAGTGGACCTTACAAGGCAAGCTGCGGTCGCAAGTGTCCAAATAAGAAGTGGCGCAACTTGGGGTCAATTGAAAATCAATCCATTCGATGTCAGTGTTGGGGATGATAGTTCAAATGGTGGACGAAACAATGCACTGTGTGTGAAAGAAGGAAGGTTGGCAAGTGGTGAATTGAAAAAGTTCGATTGTCCACAGGTCCTGATGGGTCGCTACGTTAGTGTCTATTTGAACAGGAAAGAATTTCTTCAAGTATGCGAGGTTGAGGTTTATGAAGGTATGTGCTTGAACTTAAGGCTTTCTTTCGAACATACCATAGGTATCAGACCAGAGCCTCGTTATTTCTGAGATTTAATGATAGAGGCTATGGCACCCGGGGTATTTCGAATATAGAGTAAAAACTCTCGCAGTCACTGCACTGAAAGTCTTTGCGTCTACAAATTGTTGAAAAATTTTCGCTGCCAATCGATCATGCGATACATACATTGAGGACAAAAATTTTCAGCGGTTAAAATTTCGGACAATGAACTTAGTTGAAGAAATTTGATAACCTGATGTGGTTTTGCTTCATACATGCAAAAGACTGTTCAAAATTTTCCTGAAAATTTCTCTGTCCGAAATTTTAAAAGTATGACAAATTTTTAACCATATCAAACAACGAAACTACATAAGGACAGATTTTCAAGAAAATTTTGAACAGTCTTTTGCATGTGTGAAGCGAAACCACATCAGGTTATAGATTCACATTTACACAAAAGTTTTAAGAAACTTGAAAGAATATCTGACTATTGAAAACATGACATGTCAAGAAACATTATGTACAGGAACGGCTCAAATCCTTAGTTTAGTGGCTCAGTAATTGACGATGAAAACAATAATGATAATTATTTGAACTGGTGGTCCTATTAACTTGGAAAGGGGCTTTTTTCAAAAATTTTGTTGCCAGTCATGTTTAAAGATCGTAGACTTTGCTTTAGTCAATATACACTGCGCATGCGTTGGTCATACAAAATTTATCGGCGTGACAACTTTCCGGACAAATTTGCTACCCTGAAAGTTGTTTTACTTAATATAGTTTTCGATCCAGTCCTCCCAGGTGGTGCCTTCTATTTTGTATATTGATCTTAGCCTCTGTTTGGTGCTTTCTGGTGACTGGGGGGTTGTACAATATAGAACAATTACATTCTTTGGCTTTAGTTATCTTGGACATGATATCCTCGACTATCAAAATGGCTAAAATGGCTTAGTACTACAAGAATCCAAGGTTCACTGTTCAAAAAAGTCTATTTTTTTTCAAAACTGTCAAAAGTTGAAAGAATGCATGGGCCCATTGATACTTTAGCTTTTCACCCTGGGTACCAGACCCACATAATTTCGATCGCAGGACTAGAAGATTGGAGAACAGGAGCGAAGGAATAAATATTCGCCAGTTTCATCAATAATAATTATAATCGTTTAAGAACCACGCCCGTATCTAAAGCCATACACATTTTGTCGGCAAACCACCGGTTTTGCAGCCCCCCCCCCATCAAAATTTTCTAGCGACCGCATTGGCGAAGGTCCCCGCTTCTCCGCTTAGTTTTCTATTTACGCGCGTGAAATTGTGTGGCTCTGGTACTGAGGGTACTTGGCCTTCCTAAAACCAAGAAACAGAGTTCTTTAAAGTAAGCTTCGGCAACACCATACTTTGATAATTTCAAAAGCAACAAATGATGCTCCATTGGCATTTTTCAAATCTAAGTAAACAACACTAGACTTTCATCAATGCAAGCACCACTTCAGCGTGCAGATCTCACCAATGTATAAAGATTTGCTTTTGGCTTGAAAGGATAATCCAATATTTTTGTTAATTTTACGCACATATTTTGGGGTGGTATCATTAAATTTAAAAATCCCCTACTGATACCTCAATCTCAGTTTAGGATAGCCGTAACTAATTATTGTTCTTATTTCGATAAATTTCTTGACTCCTTTTGCAAATTTCATGTTTCCAGCTTTTGCTTTCACTGCATTCTTTTTAAAACTTCAAGCCTGGGAACACAATTTGCTGAATATCATACCCTGGGAACCAGACTCACTATATATGAAATAAAATAGAGAGTCTGGTCTAGTGCGCCCCATTCTCGTTCTGGTGTGCTGATATTAACCAATCCGGAGCGAGTGTACAGATTTCTGTACGTTCAAAGGTCACAGCGAAACAATAAACTTAGCTCTGGTGTAAAACATTGAACAGAACAGAACATAAATAAATGCTAGCGACCGTAACGATTGAGTTTGAAGATGCTGTTAAAACTGTACTCAAAGAATATTTTCCGCATATTGTGGAACTGAACACAGAACAGCATTGAAAGCTTTGTTTGTAGAGAGAAGAGACACCTTCGCCATATTGCCAACTGGCTTTGGAAAGTCTCTGATATTTCAGGCTGTGCCTCTCGTTGCAAAGAAATTAGGCCTTGTAGTGAAATGCAGTAGATAAGAAACACCGCAAGGGAACAAACAACAATAAACACAGTAAATCAGTTATAGCTAATATTTCGCCCGGCATACGGGGCTTCGCTTGTCGTATTGGCCATATTTGCTGTGATGACCCTCCAACGTGATGATTCTAACCGCCGCGGTGTCCAAGCGCGCTGCCTTCACAGTGAGGAAGTAGACGTTGAAAGTACACATAATTTATGAGGAAAATTACAAAAGACTTTTTTTAAGTTGTATACGATATTTGATAATGATTAACATTTAATAACTGCATTGTGCTAACTTCAATTTCATGCTTCGCACATGTTTTTGCTGCCAAAGGGTGTTTTAAACCTGATTAGATTGTTATCTTGAGGCAGAAAAGTCTATTACCACTGTATTAAAAATGTCGTCTTTGAAGAACTAAATAAAACACATTTGCTTTAAGATTTCCCAAAACTCCTCTGACTACTGAGTTTCTTTGTTATTTATCTGACAGTCTTGTTTCACAGGCCTAGTCTGTTAAATAGACTTCAGTTCTTTCAAGTAAGTTCACCAGAACGAGAATGGGGCGCACTAGACCAGACTCTCTATTATTTTATATAGTGAGTCTGGTACCCAGGGTATGAATATCACAACATTTACAAAGAGCTGACAATGAGCCTAGGTATTTCTATTCCGCAAATGATTCAATTTTTTATTTCAGCTAGTTTCTGGGATGTATGACAAATAATGGTTTCCTAGGATTTATGTCAAATACTGGGTTCCATGAAGTTAATTTCGTTTAATTTTTTGTTAAAATTTGCAAGCGAAGAGTTTCTGCACATCATTTTGTTTAATTGAAATTATACTTTTGAAACAACTGAAAAGATTCTGCGATAATAATACTGTCAGAAGTATGTATTAATGTATGAACTTTGCATTTTAGATGTATTCTGAAAAAAGGCTCAGAAATCACGATTCGTTCTCTATTTCCTGGCAAGCACGAATGCATTTGAAGAGAAAAGCAATATATCTAGCTACTAGCAGCCATAGAGGATTTGCACGATGAATTCAAAATGCACAAAGAATTCATGCTTTTACATAGTATGCACATGAAGCCGCAAAATGTATCCAGTTGTAATTTATATTGTTTGATTTTCATTACTATTCAGTACAGTAATTATGAACAGTGAGGTAGGAGGCACAAATCTTTTAGTTGTGACTTTTGCTAAAAGCAAGAGATTTCCATAATAAAAATCAACTTTATTCTCGAAATTTATCAAGATGTAATAAGTATTGTATTTTAGGGTTTTCTGTCTATTCAGTCAAGTAATTATGAACAGTGGGGTCGAAGGCAGAAATTTCTTTACCTGTGACTTTTGGTTATTCAAGAAATTTCAATTACAAAAAACTACTTTTTTCCGGAAAGATTCTTTAATAAAACTCCTTTAAGGAAGGATAGCTTGATGTTTTCTTAAGCTCTAATATCTGTCAATGCAATTTTTGACTAAGAAAGAAAAAAATCTCTATTCTTTTGACTTTGTTAAATATAGCAAAGCAAAGACCACGATATAGTGTCAGAAACTGATGTGAATTATAGTGTTGTTATTTGATTTAAGCTATTATAGTGTTGTTGATCATATGTAATAATACTTTTTGGGCTTTGTTTAGCAGTTCAGGGTTGATATTATTCAGAAAATTGAATTCGAGCTTAAAGAATCCTCGTAAAAAGTAAAGCTTACTAACTTAAAAGACAAGGCCAGAAGGATTTTATCAATATATTCCTACGTTGCAATAATTATATACGATTCATGGATCATTTAATGATATTAAAGAGTGATGTACAAGAGTTTGTTTTCTAGTTTCCACAACCTTTCTATTTGCTATCCTTTACTAATTGAACACTTTTTTCAACTTCCGTATTGCTTTATAAAGTAGTGTGTTGCTCGATCTTGGCTCATGCAACTCTTATAGCAGCAGCAAAATGCATCTAAGGAGACAGAAAAACTAATTGCAGAAGCACAAAAATGGACCAAGGCAAAGTATGTTAAATCTAATTACGCAAAGCAAACTAAAAACAAGTCCTTACAAACAGCAAACGCAAAGTTTTGCCCAAGGAGTCTTAAAACCGAAATCACTGTCGAAGTAAAGCCAAAATTCATAATGAAACATGAAAATGTTTCTGTTTAAAATCAGATTTTCATAAAATGCCCTTTATAACGTCAAAATCTAAATACTTAGTTTCTAAAGAATCGCTTATCCAAATTTATGATTTGTTCGAATTTTTCATGAATTCAATTTCATAATATTTATCACTTTACAAGGTATCTTAGAGGTTTGCCTTGTTAAAAACAAAAATGATATTACACAGGAAGGCATATTTTCACCTGCAACAATCTAAAACCATCGGCTGCAAGGGTCTCAAATTCCGTAAACAATGTAAATCAAATATTACCTATGTTACATGCGTATTCCTTGCGAGGATCACAAGTACAATTGAATGATTAGAATTCTGAAAGTTTTTTCTTGAATATTTGCAAAGCTGGGGATTATTTCATTTCGTTTGGAACTGAGTTAGCAACAGCTTGTTCAAAATGATCAAGAAATAGAATTTCATTTGCATTTTATGAAGGGTCTTTATCAAAACTTATTTAGAAAATATATTTTGCACAAGTTGTTAAAGCAGTTCATGTACAGAAAGTGGTTTGGAGCATTCTATAACAAATATCTAATAAAACAAATGATTATCAAGGCAAGTCTTCTAAGCATTAGGACTTCTTAGTCGTATTCCACATTTTGAACAAATGAAATCACTTGATGGTTAGTGGTAAGGATGCTCATAAATATATAGAGTGAGCGGTTTTCTTCCAGTATAAAGTATAAAGACAAAATTTTCTAGCTTTGTGATAATAGAAAATGCATTAGCAAATGCGTTTTTTTTACATTATTTTGTATAGTTTTACTTCATAAAAAGTATTCACTTGGTATTCAGGGCTTTCAAAATATTCCCAAAGAATTTTTTTTTTTTTTTTTTATATTCTCATAAAATTTTACAAAACAGACAACTACAAGACGATACCACAGGGAGCATGGAAATACATAGCAACCCTGTGGCCATTACATTAAACATATTTGATTCAAATTAAGGTTGCATTAAATGTTGCAAATTACATGTTACAGATTACTAATAATTAAAGACATTTACAATTTGGATGTTAAAACAAAAACAAGGACAAACTACATTGACGAAACAAAACAAGAACAATAAAAGACAAATTACATAGGAGAGAAGATTTATAAAACTACTTAATGAAACCTTTCAGAGGTCTGAATATATTTTAATGTTGCCTCAAGAATTTTTGTATTTGAATTTAAAGATAATTTTTCATGACCATAAAGAATTATTTGCAGTAAAGCTTCATTCGAAAGGTTTGTTAATCCATGGGGTTGCAATATAGCCCTCACATTGTCAAGAAGATCACGTCTATCTGTATCGTAAGCATGGCAGAGCAGCAAAAAGTGTTCCGTATCCTCAATACCATCATTTACTGGGCACAAAGGATTCAGGGTATCACTGAAGTTATGTTTGAATTTGTGAAAATTCAGCTTGCTAAGTCCAACACGAAGTGGAAGTAGCACTGTTTTGGGTCGTGGATGTTGTAGACTAGCTTTTTAGGTGGACGGATAAATGCAAATAGTTGTTTTTTGAAAGCACTTACTGAGTGGGATTGTTTGATCTCTGGGTCGAGTTTTTCCCATTCAGATAAACAATTTGGATAAAAACTAGCTTTAAATTTCTCAGTTCTCGCCTGTATTTGCCCTACTGAAGCCTGTCTGCGAAGAATGTAGCCTGATTTCTGAAGTTCGGGTATAGGGCTTCTAGTGTAATCTGGTGTCAAGTTATTGATTATTTTAAAGAAAGAAACAAGGCGTCTACTCCATCGTCGGTGGTTTAGCGATTCCCATCCGAGTTCATCATAAATTTTTTGGCACGATGTGCCCTTCCAAGCCCCAGTTATTGCTAATGCGGCAGAGTATTGAATGGACTCGAGTTTTTCCATCGAATTGGTCAATGTAACAGTTTGGCTACAATCATGAGTATTTTGTGGAATGTGATATATTACGTCACCATAATCCAGACAATCTGCAACATAACGAGCTTGTATACACTTTAACGGCCTGAGCGGTATGTAGTCGCCGAACGTCCTTCTCGGTGCGCATTAACCTTAATGAAGACGGGAATCTCACATATCACTGCCCATAATGGCTCTTTACAGTTAGAAAATAATTACGCGTTTAAAACGTATTCCACTACCTATCGTGATGATGAGGTTCAGAATTTCCAATGAATACCCAAGGTGATTTCTAGGCTTCAGTACCTTACGCTACTCATCACCTTAATTTATTACAAAAAATAAATATCTTCTCGATTTTCTTGAAACCAGCCTTTATGACCCTCAATCTATTCGCTAGTTCGGGCTCAAGTTATCTCTC